TTCAAAACTTTGACCCTTCTTGGGGGAGATACCAGAAGGAATGGTCCGATCTCTACCGTATGTATAACAGATCCTATTTTTATAGAAATATTCAGATGTGCCTAAATGACTAAAGTCTAAATGGAATTGGATGTTATTTTTCGCGTTTTATGAGCTTAATGGATACCTTTTGTGGGGGAGGTACCAGAAGGTGTAGACCCACCATATAGTACATTTTAACATCAGATATTGGGTTTATAAAAATTAATTTCAACCTTTTGTGGGAGAGGTACCAGAAGGAGTGGACCGATATATTCTATCTTAACACCAGGTTTAATAAAAATATTGCGATGTGTGAAATTTTAAGACAATCGGACTCTTACAACAAATTTTATAAGAGTTGTAATTATTTAAATGTTGACCCTTTGTGGGGGAGGCATTTGATGGAGTAGACCGATATTGCACATTTTCGCACCTGACCTAGCACTGACACAAATATAAGCATTTGCAATGTTGGACCAAAATCGGATAATCCTTAATCTTTCTATGCAGAAACAAATTTTCAAAAACAAAAAAAATATTTTTCAAAAATTTCAAAATTTCGACCTTGTGTGTGGGGGGGGGGGGGGGGGACCAGAAGGATGGACCACCCTAACACCAGACATTGGGTTAATAAAAATATTTTCATGTGTGAAATTTGAAGACAATCGGACTCTTACATCAATCACATTTTATAAGAGTTGTAATTATTCAAAATTTTGAGCCTTTGTGAAAATTTCGATCTTTTGTGGGGGAGGTACCAAAAGTAGTGAACCCATGTTGTCCATCTCCGAACTCGATCTAAATTTGACAAAAATATTACGATGTACCAAGTTTGGACCAAATCGGATACTCCCTTTGAAAGTTATTGTACGCACCATCCAGCCAGACAGACACCCCCAGATCCAGATCCAAAGAGACCTAGAATCTGAAACCGTTATTTCTATGAGACACGTTTTGGCCATTTCCAACGATATATACTTTCTGTAGCCATATTATGGCAATTATTACCTAATATTTGCCTTCCAAAAATCTCTGGTGGTAATTTCTAAGAACCAAATATTTCTTCTTTGCCAACAAAGTTGTGTGTAGAGCATCACAAAATCTGCTAAATCCATCATCATTGTTATCTCCTCGTTTTTTGTTGTTGCCGTTTATTATTTGTTTATTTTTTAATTTCTATGCACTGTTGCTGTTTGTTTGCTGGACCGCAGCAAAGAGTTGAGTTTTTTATGTCACAGCAGATAAACTGATGTCATTTTATCCACACGGACAAACACACACACACACACAACACATCATTCATATTTATTTTTTAGCAGTTTTGTATTGTTGCCGACAAGGAGGAGGTTGTGTTCTCGACTGGAATGATGGTGGATAACAATAATAAGTAGCCTTTGAATTCTTCTTAGTTCCAGTTGCAGAATGAATTGAATTACTAATCCAAAACAAAAAATGGCAAAAAATGTAAAAGAGACAAACAGACAGACTGTGAAAAAAACGAATTAAACTTGAAGTTTATACTGGGCTAAATTTTATGCTCTGCTTAGCAATGCAGTTTGTTGCCTTTTGTTGTTGGTTTTTGTTATTTTGTTTTGGCGGCTAAAGACAACCCACAGTAGATACCAGACAAATGTGCAAACAAAAAACAACACGTTCTCAGTTTTTAATTACAAAATTTTAATCTGATTTATTTCTATCCAAAAAACAAAAGTGAGGCGACAAATATTTTCAAAGACTTATTAACCCAGACTTGGAAAACTTTTGTGGAAGTATATCGGATAACTACTGGACGCGTCTATGGGTTTGGATAGTGAAAGTCCCCAAGACTTAGTGGGTAGATGTGGGCAAATTCTACGCGGCCCTACGAGGAGAGTGCAAACTTTTATGTCATTAACTAACCAAAAATGTGTATTACCCCTCACCCAAGTGAGACTTGCGACTACATAACTCTCGGTATTTATCGGATATTAAAACAGAGCTTTGGTTAAACTTGGCTCCGGATGCCTAGGATGTTTTTTTTCTTAAGGTATAAGGAAGAAGGGGCCGTGAACAGTACGTAGCCCTTATCAAACTAACCAAGAACAGGTATTGTCACTGACCTAAGTGGGACTTGCAAATACATGACGATCAGTGATAATGGCCCACTGTCAAGTACCAAACATAATAATACGAAGCTTTTGGGAAACTTTTCCCTGACAGTCCTTTGTACCTGACGACGAGAAGGATGAATGAATTGCAGTTCCATTGATGAATGTGTGTGTGCGCTATTAAGTTATTTAACCTTTAAAAACCAGAAAATCCAAGTCGATAGAAGGCATAAAGGTGTATAAGAGCCAAATAGGTTAGCATTTTGGTTTAAGGATGCACAGCTACACGGAGAAGTCGGCAACTGCTTCACTCCTAGACATTTAGTATATTGTGTTCATCTAAGGAAGAATCAAGGTGTTGGTGATAGGGTAGAAGATATAGCAGCGAGAATGATAAGGAAGGGTTCATAGAGAGAAGTATAGTTAGAAGGCTGGTCTGCCCAGTCCGGGGATGTTTTTGGCAAAGATAAAGGGATATATGTTTTTATCTTCCACCAACCAAATAGTCTACGTCTCTGTTTCGATTTACAACTTGCTTTATCTAAATATTTCTCTTTACCGGAAACCTGTGATGAAGTTGTAATTTATCGAAGTTTATGATTTCGCATAAAATTGGACATAAATGTTCGATTTCTCTCAAATTTTGCGAATACCAATATTTTTATCTGAATTAGAAGAAGTATGAAAATGCAATACTTCGGTCCGCCATATCTGTTACCTTACGCATATTTCCACATTTTCTAAAAATATGCAAATATTTCACATAAAGTATAGGAAGTAGTCCCCATAGTCTAAATCTGGCACGTCGCAATGTTTATATTATATTTATTTATGCCCGATACGAAATGGACAATATTGGTCCATACCATCGAAACCTACTCCAAAGAGGGTCAACAATTTGAATAATTACAACTCAAAGCTGGGGGTATATATCGTCGGCAAAACCGACTGATCCAATTTTACTTGTTTCAATTAAGAATGGCACATTACTTCATCGCTTGGTCACGATGCTGTCCTAGTACTTTCAAGTTCTTCTATCAATTCGTCGTTTCTATTTATATGTCGTCGGCAAAACCGACTGATCCTATTTTACTTGTTTCAATTAAGAATGGCAAATTACTTCAGTGCTTAATCACGATGCTGTCCTAGTACTTTCAAGTTCTTCTATCAATTCGTCTGTTCTAATGATTGCAAGAATCTCGGAATAAAAACGCTATAATTATCATTACATTCATGTGACTTCCCAATAAGTCAGAAGAGGGCCTTCATTTTTCAGCGTAAATAGCAAGACTGCCCAGAGACGACTCTCCATTACAGTATTAAAACTCCAGGGGACAAATTCTCTCATTCGATATCGGAAAAATTCAGTAGATACAACTATACACCGAATATGTAACCAACACAGGCACAGGCTCACATGACACGCTACACCTCTTTTACTGCCCAGCCAAACCTGCTCAACTCAACTCCAGTATCGTTGTGGATATAACCTGTTGAGGATACACATAGAAGCAGAACCAGATTGAGAGGAGTAGTAGGAGCTACCACAATGCAAGAATGTTGGCCCCAAAGTCTTAAGCTCTTTCAAAAGTACTTCCTGCAGAAGTAGTACGCCATGAGACAATGCCTTTTTCATCTACACGGTGTTTTCTTTTCGCGGGTCAACTTTTTATTCTCTCCACCAAGAATAAAAGAAAAACTTTAAAAATAAAAGTTTCAGAATTCAATATTCGAACGAGTTCCATTTCAAACTGGCAATGAAAGTGAAATCGGTTTGAGAAGAAATGTCGTCATATGTAAGCTTTACACGAAACGAGAACCTGCATTGACAAATATCTGCGTTTCAAAGACCACATTTAAAACAATTTCGTAGAAAATTGTGGATAAAATCAACAAAATACGGAGTATTGGATAGACATGGAACTGATGTGTAGACAATTGCCTGCTACAAGGGTCGACGTCTATTGTAAAAATTTTCAAATTTGGAAAAATTCTACTGAAAATTGTGACTAATTACTGAATTCTTAGAGGCACCGTTGTATGGAGCTATGGGAAAAAGTGGAACTATATTGGCAATGTTTTGCCACCGAACGTGTAAACCCATAACGAGCTTTAAATGCAGAATTTCAAACAACTCCATAAGAAAATGTGGCTTAAATTGTGAAAATACTGAATAAATTGAGTCGTATCGTATGGGGTTATACGATATGGTTTATTTACAAATTCAACCTAATACACAAATACGCAAAATTGTATTCGTTCGACAACCAGACTGACGGACTTCGTTAAATCGACTTAGAATTTTACGCTGATTAGGAATATATAATATCTATGGTAGTTATTAGAGGTGTTACAAAAATAATGACAAGTTAATATACCCTCCCTCCATAGGATGGTGTGTAATTTCCGAAGAAAATTAGTGTCCATATTGATGGAAAGAATCATTTCACAATGACGAAATTAAAACATACATCAGTCAAAATAACGACAGACAGCATTCTGTAAAATTGGAGAACTGTGGCAAACTTGCATCCCAAGAAGATCCAACGATCCCAAAGAGAGAGTGAGTTGCATGGTATTTCTTTGTGTTTTGTTGTCTTCTACCAAGAAGAAAAAAAAAAAGTATCTGAAACCATATGAACGAAGAAAATACAAAAGTGAAATAAAGAAAAGAAAAAGGAGATGCAGAGCTATGTGGAATAATCACAGAAATTTATTTTGCTTTTGCATCCATTCCACACTCTGTTGTTGTTTATCGCAGAAAACTTATTTTTCTTAAAACCAAATATCCTAAACACTTGAAACAGAAATCTTCATTTAAATACATTTTGTCCCACTTAAAAAGAGTTGGATAGGTATTTAAAATAAGTATTACAAAATATTGGTACTTACCACATGTGTCGAGAACAGACTACTCCTCCGTAGTGGCAATTGTCGCAGCAGCAGCAGCAATACAAAAATATTCATTCATTCCTTCGTCTGGTTTTGGTTTTGTTTTTGGGGGGCCCCCGTCACTGCTGTTGGTGGTTAGTAGGAAAAATGTGCAACAGACCATCAGCCAACAACTCACACACTTTTTTTTACTCTTTACAAAAGGAAAGACACTAGGCACAACATTACACCAAAAACAAAGTATTTGTATGTTCAATAATAAAAAGAACTACAACAACAGCAACAAAGCAACCACAACAATTTTTTGTTGTGTGCTGTTATCTTTTCAACCCAAAAGATATTTGTTTTTTGATTTATTTATATTTTCCACTTTATTTTCTTCTTTTTCTTATTGTTGTTGTTATTGTACTTTGTAACACAACTTCACACAGAAATTTGTTGTCTTGTTTAAGTTAAAACTCCGCCATCCGATGTAATGATCCAAACGTTTAACTCTCAACTAAAATCTGTAAGTGCCGCAAACCACACAAGTCACCGAAGCCAGCCAGCCACAGCTCCGAATGACTGACTTCGCTCGCTCACAAGACTTGTATACCTAAAAGATCCGTCGTTTGTTCTCTTCTCCCTACAGCACCGAGAGGTGGGAGAGAGTGAGGATCGTGAATTAAGGGGTATACCAACAAAAACACATGCCATAAGAAAAATTATCTGAAGCAGTGTTGCCGTTTCATAGGTATTTTTTCAAGGATTTTAAATTTGATAATTATTTAACAGAGGACTAAATATATGGAAAGTGTAGGACAACATAAAATTCAGCTGCTGATTTCAATTGGCTTTACAATGTGATTTTAGAAACACCGTTTTATAATATACTAAGCCAAAAAAGCGAGGATTACATTTATAATATGATCATTTAAATTCGATCAACCGAAATAGATTATTCAATACTTGCCAAAACGAAAACATTGTAGTTAAAATATTTAGAATATCCTTCACCATGAGGTAAAGAAAAACTTCTAGGATGAATATCCCCAGACAAAAACCAAGCGAACTGATGAGGATTTGTGGGTAAACTTTGACATTTTCCCACCTTATGCAAATCTCAAAGAAGTTATACAGAAGTTATGCATCAAAGTCAAACACCATAAATTTTACATTTCTTAAAATTTTATTGAATGAAAGCAACAATGTCGGAAATAGCATCAAATTTTAGAAAAACAATTAGATTTGTTCGAGTTGGTCACCTTTGGCACGAATTATGGTCTTCAAACAGCCAATGAAACCGTCACACGCTCTGCGGTATTTTGGCCCATTCCCGGCGAAGCGTTTGCTTGAGGTGATTGACACTTTGGTATTTTTTAGTGCCAACCTTGTTCAAAATACTCCAGACACAATAGTCCAATGGATTGGTACCCGAAGATTTTGGTGGGCATTGTGCACTGGAAATGAAGCGAGGAACTTCATTTTGTAACCATTCTTGGGTGGCTCGTGCTGAGGCTGCAATGTCCAAGGTCTGCGGCCAACATGTTTGCGTGCCCAAGGCTTAATACACCCACCAGAATATTTTAGCGATAATATTCGGCATTTATTCTGATGCCACGGTCGGTTAGTACGAGCGGAGAGCTGTTATGGCGGCCCACACCATCACCATGGCCGGCGCTTGAGTTCTGGTAGCCAACTGAACAACATTTTCAGCTGACCTCTTTGGCAAGTAAACACGATAATTTTGTTTGTTTACAAACTGCTGGACAACGAATGTTTTCTCATCGGAGAAAATCGAATTCGGCAGTTCACCACTTTTGGCCAAGCGAAGCAACTCTTTTGCTCTTTTGAGTCTATTTTCCTTCTGTTGCGGTGTAAGTTCTTGCACAGTTTGGAATTTCAACGGCTTTACCCCGAAATTGGAAATTATGTCTTAAAGTGAAAAAATACTGAATATTCCCGCTAAATAGAGCCCATACGAAAACCTTGAATGACATGGACCATTTACGAACTTGACCTGCCTATTGACCTAAAACACAGGTGGAAAATTTTAGCCTTCTATCACAATTCATTCGACAGATAATGAGACATAATGTATCAATTCCAATGTTAAGGATCCATATTGTGAGAGTACCAACACAGTATTAGCTAATTTGGGGCTAATCCTCTGTGTTGGGGCATAGGCACTCAGGCATCTGAAATGAGACTCTCGTCCCATTCCCGCGGATTATTGGATTCGTTACTACCAACTATATCTACTAATAATAATATATGCTCCCCTAAGATGGACAGAATTCAATTTCTCGTTAATGATTTGAAGACCTTAACCCTTAGAAAGAAATTTTGCTGGAAGTTGTTCTCGAGCACCATCTAACAACAGTGGTCTCTCAAACTTTGACATCTACAAGGTACTTTTTCCGGTCAATATTTAAAAATTAAAAAAAAAAAATGGCACATTAATTTCAATAAACATTGAAAAACACAACACAAATCACAAAATGTATCGTTCCATTGTTAAGTTTAGGGACACATAGTTTTTGATGCAGAATTCGTATTGTATTATTTAATCCAAGCTGTTCGACAAGAATGTTCTTGGATAACTACTTTTATGTTCTCACTTGTGGAATTTATAGACTATATAGATATAAACATTTTCAAGTTGATATTATCATATTTATCACTTACCCAAGCAGATTCCAATTCATTCAATGTTCCAATTGGATTAAAATTAGTTCGGATTAAGTTGATTTGTTCTGGAACGTTTTCCTCAGTTCTAAGCCCCTTGATACCAATCATGAAAATTTTTGTTCAACGGAAGTGAAGATGGGACCCAAACATTTTTGTGTCTTTTAGGACACACATGCCAGAAATATATGTTTTTCGCAGGGATTAGCATATGTTCTACGTTTGGTTGAAATTTTCAAATCGATGTAAGAGTTGCCTGTAATTGCTTCCAACTTTTCTGTAGAAAATGCAAGCCCTTCCAAATTTGGGAGATCAAGAAATTCTAAAAAAAAAAAAAAAATAAAATAAAATGAAAATATTATTAATGATGTAAAACCTATGTAAGAGATGTAGTACTTAAATCCAGTTTTTCTGGGCGATATCCATGACTTTTGAGATATAGCTTGGCGGTTCTTGAAATGATATTGATACATTAAAATAAAAACTAAATTTATGCGTATTGAAAATAAATTGACGGTTATTTCATTTCAAAATATAAGTAGACGACTAGGTTGAATTTCAAGACCACTCAAATCAAGTGAATTCGACTTCACATATATGGATATTTTGAAGTTAAGCTTTAGAAAACCAGTCGACTTCAACTGTATTCGGAAAAATTGCAAAGCTCTTCCTATATTTTCAGCAGAAAAGTTCTGAAAAATTAACTAATTATTAAAGATTCCAAACTATTAAAAGTGCTGTACTTACTTGCTTCCAGTTTTGGAGGATGGCCAGGGCTACCAGGATGTGTGGCAGCAAATTCTAAAAAAGCACACTAAAATCAAACTAAATATATTAAGATATTAAAAATCAATAGATTGTTTTTGGTTAGCGATTTGATTGATTTTCAGGAATGCTCAAATCAATTGGATTTAATTTCGCGTAAATGCTTATGAAAACCCAACGGATTTTAACTGGTACTTCTTTATGTGAACTTGAACTGAGAATATTTGTTACGATTCAATGGTATTTATTGATTTTCCCTTAAAACCTTTCCAACCATTTATGATAATCAACATTTAAAACAAATTTAAATTCAAATATTAATAAAAAATTAAAACAAAATATTGAAGGCCGTTTTAAACATTTGACTTCCTAGAACGTTTTGATTTGCAAAAACCTTCGGAAGCGCTTGTTTCAGTTTCGGGAACATACTGTAACAATGTAGATAAAAGTAATTACTATTTCCTTTTGTCAATAAAAAATAAGGTGTTCCCTTACATGTCCCTGTCTGGTGTTGGGACGCCATTCAGGAATCAAAAAATCATTATCATTTTCATCCGAAGACGCTGTGTTGTGAAGTCCCTTCTTTTTAGATGCCTGAGAGGAATTATTTGCCAATCCTTGATGATGATGACCCCTCTTCCGGTTATTATAGTTTTGGGCTTTATTTTGTTCTGCATATCTATCGGTATTGGGATTATATTGTGGCCTAGCAATTTTCTTTTGGCGTACACGGGATGATAGCTCAATAAAATCACTGGCACTGCTGGAATTGGTTTCCACAGATTCTCGGCGAATTTGTGGTTTTGTTATGGCCACATTGTTGGTGGTGGCTACAGCTGCCGCTTTACTTGTTGATGGCTGTGGAAGAAAATTCCTAAAATCGCAAGTAAATTATGATATTGTTGTTACCTGTTCTTTGTCTGCGTTAAATTCGTTATTTAAAGTGGCATGTCTGTTATTCGGAGGAACAGTAATTGTGGGCTGCCCAAATACTTTTTCTATCTGTTTTATCTTGTAGTTCAGCTCGTCAATGCGGCGCTGTAACAGAACATATGAAATTAATTTAATATTCGTTATGCATGATTAAATATCTCTCTTGTATGACAAAAATGTTTCTTACATTCTTTTCTTCTTCCAAACTTTCCTTGTCCTTTATACATTGCCGTATCATTTCATCTTTCTCAGTCACATCCGAATTAAGTTTTGCCAGTTCTTCGGAAAACTCTTTTTGCTTTTGTTTCATTTCTTCTTGAAGGTAAGTCAATTCTTTCTGCAAATTAAAATATGTATTCGACATAACATGACTAGGAATAGTACAAAAATTCACCATACCTTGTGCTGCTCTTCCGTTACACTTCTCTCATTTAAAATTTGATTTTTATAGTCGTTATAATCTGTTTGCAATTTTTCAAATTCCTTATAGTATTTATCGGAATTCTTTAATAGATCTGCATAATCTGAAGTTAAACAATCAAGTTTCTGATTTTTCTCCTCTAGCTGATCTTTCAGGCCCTGGCAAAGCTTTGACAATTCATTTAGTTGTTGATTTTCAATCGATTTTTGCATTTCAATTTGTTCTTTGAGATTTTCAATTTCTTGATTTTGTATTTGGCGCACTTGGTCATAGTTTTCTTCCAACTTAAAATATTTTTCTTTAAATACCAGAAAATCATCTAAAATTGTACGATTATTTTCTCTTGCCGCTGACAATTCTTCAGTTAGTTTCCTTATTTGCTCGTCGCGTTCTTCAATACTAGGAAAGTTAAACAAATAAAAAATGTATTGCTTTAGGGCAGTCAAAAATAATTAACTTACCTTTTGCATAGTTCTTGAATATTTTTATTTTTATCTGTAATGCAGCACATTATCTGCTGTTTTTCTGCAGCCGCCTTTTTAAGTTCATCATTAACAGTGGCTATAGTTTCGTATTGCTTCTTTAAAAAAGCTTCAATGTTCTTGACTCCAGGAGGGGATGATTGGTGGCGTTTCTTTGGGGTTTTATTTTTAGTTGATTTTTCAGCATCTTTATTCATTTTGATATTCTGAAAGAAAATAAAGCAAATTATAGGCGATATATAATAATTGGTCTACGTAGGAAAGAGGTTCGTCAATTTATTTGGGGATGTTACTCAATTCAAACACAGAACCTTCCCTTCTAGCTATTTTTAGGGAACTACTCTAGTTTAGTGAAAACTCACTGCTATTCTTTTTTGGGATATATGTTTACACTGATTCCGAGATAGTCGCTTCTTCTTGGGGGACGGGAAAGACTGGGTTCAGGACCCGGATATACTTAACCCATATAGGCAGTATAGGTAATATGGAATTACCGTCCCAACAAGCGGTCAAATGATGAGTCATATAAATCGCTTCCGAGCTATAGCAAATAATCGGTTTTTGGACCTGGATTTTTTATACAACCTAAGAAAATCGCAGTGTCATTGTGGGATTAACAAAACATGTTTATAAGCTACATATACATACATATACTACTATATCTATGACCTGTATATGTTAAATATATACGTGTCTTGAATCAGAAATATCAGGTCAAATATGCGCGTTCCCCTCTCGGATCCCAAGAAAAAATGCTTTTCTGGAATCAGACTACAAATATCTACCTCTAGAAAAATTTTCATTTCTAGACTAGAATTGTTACGAGGCCTCTCTTGTTCTGGATTTCCATAATCTCTTGAGTATATTAGTACATTTATCATCGGGAAAAGCTGGAATATAATACTGATTCCAAATGTTCCCACGCTAAATATTTTCTTCCGTTTTAACCTGTTTCTTTAAATCAAATTTGTGCTTGAAATTGCAAACATTTTCCAAGTCTACAAAACCAACCAACCAACCATGTAATCATTAATAATACATACTTCACTCTTACGAAACTGGGGAAAACCTATTGGTATAATTATATTTATATATTTACCAGTGTTTACAGCGATTTTTATAAATAAATCTGTTTTTTGTTATAAATTAACAAGAATTCTTGACGCCTTTTTCAAAAACTAACGACGAAACGATCGGCAATAACCGAGCAAGTACGACATAAAAATTAAAAGCGTTCCAAACGGTGCAAATAAGAATGGCAAGAGAGAATTCGACGGTTAAGAAAGAGACAAAATGATAAGAGTGAGAGTTTGAAAAGAGACGGAGGGATATGTTTCTGTTTACTTTGTTTGGTAGGGTGAATCTTTAAATACAACGTATCAAATTGTGGCAACTATGCGTTGACACAATGCAAGCCGATGATTTCAATTTTTGTGACTGTTATAAATGACCTTTAGATTGCTAAAAACATTAAAAAATCATTTGAAATGCAATTGGACTATTCCAGAACTGGAAGAATGTTAAAATTTTTAATTCGATAACCGGGTTTCCTTTGTGATTTAAAAAAATGCAAAACTAGTATTTTCTTGAAGGTTCTGGAAGAGAACAAGCATGGAACAATTTTTCTTTTGGTGTCCCTATTCCGTCAAATTATAGTTGTGTTCCAGAACCTGCAAATTAGTACTAATTAGCACTAATTCTGCTACAACGCGTTCCAGTACTCCAAAAACTAGCAAAACTTGCAGCTCTCTCGAGAAAAAAATGGCGCTGAGTGGTGCACATTTCTGCTTGTTTTAGCTACATGAATTTGGCCGAGCAAAAATGTGCATATTGTAAATTTGACATTTAATTGGCAGGGCTAACAAGGCTGAAAAATGTATTGATACATTTCAATAAAGAAAATGATCAACTTGAAAACTAAAGGAAAAACTAATATTTGTCGTGCAAAAAACAAAAAGAGAAAATATGGAGCAACTGATGTATTCACTTTTGGATGATTCCAGCAGTGAAGAGGACTGGCTGAATGAGGAATCAGATTATTAATTATTATTATAAATTATTAATTTTAACTTATCGTCTTCAATACTCATTTTTTAAATGTTGGCGCTCTTTTCAGTAAGGTTTCACCAGTCCGATTTAGGCTGTTTACTTTGGGAATTTTGAATTTTGACATTTTATCGCATTTCTGCTAATTTTCCGTTCCCTTATTTTTTGAGCAAACCTAAATGAGAATGACATTTCGAACTGTTCTCTCTTCTGCTAGTTTTACTACTAAAAAAGTACTGGAACACAACTTATTATATGTGTGTATCATGGTAGAAAAATACAGGTAGATGCATCAACGCTTGAGAACATTGATATGTCAAAGTTTTTTAAATATTTCTTCAAAAATAGGTATATTTGTATATGTTTTCCTACACGGCGCCAATCGGAGGTTGTTATAATATGCATTTTTTAACAATATTTACAAATTTGAGTAATTTTTCATTCAACAATTTCGATTCCAACATTTTTTTGACAGATCATTGTCCCAGCAGCTGTGTCGAAGCGTCTACCTATGGCGTGTATAAAACAATTTGCAATTATTTCAAATTGTTGATGAAAGATATATGCTTATTTTCCACGTTAACGGGCATAATTTTAGGTTGAAACAATATTGTCTCTCTATCTTGGATTCAATTTTGTGGAAAAGCTTTATATTCCATTCATATTTTGTAAGATTCACAATATAGTAATTTTGTGAAAAAAAATGTAAAAAAGACAAAACAAATTGTTGCATTTTCAAAAGTTTATTTGACACTAACTCCGGTCCAAGGTTGCATTTTTCTAGTTTTCTTGAAGCTTCTTTTGGAGCCATAAGAGCAAGTGTATTATAAGATCTCGCTGATCAATTGTCGGACTAACATTTTTCCATTTTCATTCGCTTTACCTCTCTATCTCACAAACAGAAAACGTCCTTAATATAAATTACCGAAAAAATTCGAAAAATCCTGTAAGAGTCCAGTGCAGTGTTGCATTTTGCTAGTTTCTTTGAAATTGAGCAACCTTTCTTATTGAGCCATGAGTTTATGTCTCATCCTCTAAAAATTAGTTATCATGTCGAAGTGAATAGCAAATAACAGTGTTACTATTTTATTGTGATTAACCGTTTCTGAGTCTCAACAATGTTGCATACTTTTTGGCGTTTGTTAAAATATATAATTGGCAAATCTAATTTTTCGAAAAAAAGAGAATAAAAAATCAACTAAGTATAAGTAGGTAATGAAGGAACCCAAGTAGATGTCGATTAATCGAAAATCGCTTGCATCGTTGTATAATTTCGCAGCAAAACATTTCAAATTGACTCCCTTGACAAAACAGAGCAGTTGACTTCGACGCGTTCTTCACGAAACAACATTGAGAAAAATAATTCGGAAAGTGGTTGTCGCGCGACGTGCTACGCGCTTTGCTTTTTGTTTGTGTGACTAGAAAAAAAGAAGAATATGTATGCAAAATTGAAATTGTGAAAATATATGAGAAAAAATATTTACAATTATTTGTGTTTACATTGTGGCAATTGTTTGTGTTCTGTTTTCGTAAATGAAATATGATTTTGCGTTTCTAAATTTTTGCAATTTGTGTTTTTTTCACACTATGCCCCCCATTCATAATTTGTGTACTATATACCTATGCCTTAAAAAAATATGAATAAATATTGTATATTTTTGGTGTTGTTGTTCTTTTGAGTGTGTCGTGAAAGAATGAATCTTGTGAGATAAGCAGAGCATCTTTGAAAACTCAATGAATTGTTGTTAAAATAATACAAAATATATAAACACCGCATGAAGGGAGTGCAAAAAAAAATTTAAATGTGATATGTTGTGCAAATAACACAAAATAATTGATGTGTCTAAAATTGGCAAGCTATTGTTGTGTATGCCTGGTTTATTCAATTATTCCGAATTGTATTGTGTGTAGGTGGAACATCATAAACAAATGAAAATGTTTGCTTGCGTGTTCAATTAAATAAAGTCTTGCAATTGTTACAAAAATTAAAGTGTTCTTTCCTTAAAAAAGTACAAAAGAATTTGGTTGAGCTTACTGTGTGTATAACAGTGTGCAAGTGTGTGTGTATGATATGGTCAAAAGCCGCTAAGGAATAAGAATGAAAAGGAAGTTAAATAAACATAAACCTAAAGTCCTATCCAATCGTTGAAAAGGCAGATGCAAAAACCTGCCACATACCAACCGTACAGTAATTGAAAGCAAGAAGAAGAGGAAGACATTCAAACAACAACAAGGATTACTCATCACGTCATAACAACGACAACAACAAGAACTATCAACACGGTATGTTGTGGCATTAACGCGTTTTTTCGGTTTGTGGCTCTTCCTCCTCTCTTGTTCTCTAATTCAACTAAGCCCCAACAACTCCAATCAAGCCATAACAATAATGCAATAACAGCGGCAAAAACAACTTTTCGCAACAACAATAACAAAAACAGCTGCCCATACAATGAGAACAACAACACAACAAATTCTATACAATAACAACAAACCAGTTGGGGCATCTCTGTTTTGAATTTGATGTTTGTTACTCCCCATCCCTCTCAGTTTATTTTACTCTATTAGAATTTGTTTCCCCAAAGTTTCGTACTCTCTATCTCTCTCTCTCCTAAATTTAATTCATTGTTTTTCATTCTCTATGTTCTCACTACGTCATGCATACTTAAATCTTGTTTCATGTTTGCAAAATGTGTCGGGAAAAATCTAAAAATAGTTCAAATAAATGCTAAAAATCCATAAAATTTTGTGAATAACTAACAACAGCAAATAAAAAGGTGAAGTGTTATAAAAATAAACCAGAAAAAAAGAAGAAGAGCGTCTGCGCGCCTCTTTGCCACAGGAAAAAAGGAGCATTGCGGTGCGTCGCCCCTTGAACAATGACAGAACGTAAATTCACCCGTGCTTTAAATAAGCCGGGTATGGCAGCCCAGTTGCGTGAGACCGTGTCACAGGTGGTGCGGGAAAATGCAGTGTTGGTAAGTGCTTCAAGTTAATTATTAATTAAAACATATTAATAGGGTCTTTATTTGTAGAGAAAATTTGAAGGGAAAGTGAGGCAAAATGAAAAATAATCATAAAAAATATTTTATTTATGGATCATATGTCCTGAAATTGTGTAAAAAGTTGGGGATTTGTGGGACGCACAATGTTGCAAGAAATGCATTTTGGAACTATTTCATGGAGATTGTCTTAACAGACAAATTCTGTAACAAATTGCTTTCATGTAAGATATAGGTGTTTTGGAGCTAATTATGCAGTTTTTGTTAGTCACCCATAATTGAACTTGAATTTTCATAATGCAATGACTGTGTCGTACCCAGGAGAAAGGGTGAAGGCTGTGTCCCTTAGCCGGAAAGCAAATAAATATATTATTCATTATTGGAAAGAGTTTAGCTGCCATGAGAACCTCCTTGCTTACGTCCATTAAATATATATTTTTATCTGAATGATTATCATTCTGACCCGAAAACCGAATTCGCTGACAAAACAACGGCTTTATGTTGAATATGATTCAATAAATGTGGAATTTATGACAATAGGAAAGGAAGTGAATTAGGATTGATTTGAAACATAAATGTATAGGAGTGGAGACATGGGATTTATATATATTTTTTTTCAAGGCTACCTAAATTCAAGCGCTTGCTTGAAGTTGTCGACACTTTGGTATTTTTTAGTGCCAACCTTGCTTTCCAAAATACTCCAGACACAATAGTCCAACGGATTGGTGGCCATTGAGAGCTGGAAATGAAGCGAGGAACCTCATGTTGTAAAAATTCTTGGGTGGCGAGTGCTGAGTGCGATGGTGCTAAGTCCTGTTGGAATGTCCAAGTTCTGCGGCCAAAATGTTTGCATGCCCAAGGCTTTAATACACACTCCAGAATATTTTTGGCAATAATAGTATGGCATTTATTCTGATGCCACGGTCGATTAATACGAGCTGAGAGCGACCATCGGCTGTAATGGCGACCCACACCATCACCGTGGCAGGCGCTTGAGTTCTGGGGTCCAACGGAAGGTGCACATTTTTAGCTGACCACTTTGGCAAGAAAACACGATCATTATGCTTGTTTACAAACTGCTGGACAATGAATGTTTTCTTATCGGAGAAAACCAAATTCGGCAGTTCACCACTTTCGGCCAAGCGAAGCAACTCTTTAGCTCTATTGAGTCTATTTTCTTTCTGTTCCGGTGTAAATACTTGCATTTTTTGGAATATCCGAGCTCATTTTTCCGGTCATCAATTGGTTGTTCTAGGAATTTAGTCAAAAATATTTGTATATATCGTAAATTCTAGAATCTTTTAACAGAACACGATATTTAGAACAAGAACAATTGAATCACAATAGGCATTCCTAATTTTTGTGAAACCTTTTTTTGGAAAAAGGGTGTGTCACACTTATACTCACCCTTCTGTATATTTAAAACTTAAATTTTGCAATACAAAATGGTTGCGAGTGTGCACCTCTTGTGTCTGCGGCAATGCGTGTATGTTGCAAATTCCCAAGCGTCATCATTCGTTGTATGTGAAATACACCCCGCCATGCATACCTACATGCCATCCAAAACATGTGTAGTCACCAAAAGGAACCGGCCCACACCTTATTTCCTCACTTTAAGTTTTGTCACCCAACATTGCACTGCTCACACTCTTCGTGCATATTATGTGTATGGTGGTAGCCTTTATCATCAACATGGTTGCCTTGCAGCGTTTTGTTGAGCGCCAACAACATTCAGTGGCAAAAGTTCGTGCTGCATTTCGTGTTTTTTTCTCGTTTCTTCTTCTTTTTGTTTCATAACTCTGTTTACACATGGAGCTAGCTGTGTGTGCTCCCAAGATTATTGACCCCTTAAAGGGATTGGTAAGAACTTTGAAAACAACATCTGAGTCAACAGTTTACTGGAAATTGAAAATGTTTTGAGATCGGAGGAAAAACTAAATGCAATTTGAATTGAAAGAGGAGGAAAATCAACAAAGGTAATAAAATGTTGTAGGACATTTTGCTTGGGAAAATTTAATCTATTTCTTATTTCATTTTATAGAAAATTTAATTATTAGGCAGTTGCTGGAGAGAGTGGCCACGTGGATTTTCGAAAAAAAGGTTCAAACTCCGTAGAGTGTAACGGGGAGTTCGGCAAGGCTTAAGACACAGACACTTAAGACATAGCCTTTGATTGAAAAGAAGGAACGAGATTCTCATGGCATTAGCCTGCCACAATTAAGCTGCATACATGGACTCCTTGCTGACCTCTTTTGACGCTATATGTCGGTCTGTGGTTACCTCTGGGTAACAGTATGGTCTGCTACAGGGTGCCCGGTACATCAACATAAATGCATGCTTTTGTTGCAATACCTCCTTGCTGTGAGACTCACAGAGTGTAGGACCAACCACACCAGAGAGCCTCCAGATCAAGAAACTTGTAAGGCAGGCTGAGTAGTATTCATACTAATGCTACAGAAGATATTGATCATGCGGGTAACATTCAGGCGATGCAGTGCCAGAGCTACCTCAACACACTCTGGGTTTTGGGGCGATTGGGCTTACATTGAGCACTACACGATTCACTTCTTTAACCCAGCCAAACTTAATCAACTAAGCCAATATCACCAGGCTTAACTCCTATCCTTCCATTTCAAGGCAGAACCAAATAAAAAATTAGAACCTTTAGCTGTTACATGAAGATAATACAGTTCTCGGAGACCATTAGCCATCTATTGTAGCTAAAGATCGAGAGCTGCCTCGAAAATTACATCTGAGTTCCGAAGGAATATTCGCACTGGAGCTTTAAATCTTCACAAGAAGTGAAAATTTGCAACATTAAAAAAAATTGGAAAAAATTCTAGCTTCATTCAAGGCATTCGATACTTCCATAATCCATATGACCACATCGAAATGAAAATTTCCTGATTTTGACCAACGGTGCTCAAGTAGCAAACAAATATGATCATCTCTCATAATACCAACAAAAAAGAGCAAAAATACTCAACATAAATTTCAATTAAGCAAAAATTCATAGAAAAGATAGCAGCATCTATGTTCTGATGATGATTCTAACAAATGTTTTTGTTTAGACAACAATAATAACAAAAAAAAAACACATCAATAACACGGCACTTCAAGCGAAGGTCAAAACCACATTTTATGACGCAATGAAATGAATACCTAATTCCATTCTATAGCACAATAAAATAAAACTGAGAGAGATGGAGAGAGACGTATGGCACTAGAATTACCCAAAAAAAACTCTATAGACTGATAAATGGTTTTATGGTAATACACAAAAATTGTTTTTCTAATCTTCACACATCATTGGGGGTCTAGTGGGAAACAAACACAAGCACCATAACCGCACTTGGGTCTGGCAATGTGAATATGTAATTATGCCAATATTACCTGCTTGACCGGAATATGCCGCATGCCAATCCAAGCATTCCATGTGGTCATTGCTCACTTTGTGGCACAAAGTTTATTTACATTTTTCCACATCTCTCCCTCTCTTCTCTCCTGTTCAAATTCATTAAACAAAATAAATAAGAAAAAATTCTTTTATTTGAAAATTACTTAGCCGGAGTAAGTAGCCGTTGTAAATGGCGATAAGGCGTTTCCCTTTAAAAAAAATCGTATACCTGCCTTGTCTTGCAACACTGACCCGCATACATTTTCCAAATGGGATTTTTGGTGTGTTTGTTTGAATTACGAAATTCATGGTCAATGTTTTGTTTGTTCTTTTCCATTTTCTATTGTGGATGTTGTTCCTTCTTTTTCCAAAGAATTTTATGATTGTGCGATTAAAGAATACGTTGTTTATTGAGTGCGGGAAATTTCAAAATTGTGATGGGTATTTTCAAAATGTTTATCACAATTTTTGAAAAGCATTTATTTTATAAGAGTTGAAAGGAGCTTTGGAAAAGCCTTCGATGAGAATCAGTATTGTGAAAGAAAAATGCTTTGGGAATTCTGATAATCAAAATCTCAAAATTTTTACTAAGCGCTGGAATATTTGGATAAAAGCATATTCATCGGTACAATCGTTAATGTAAACGTTATTTACAACATTGGAATTAAAAAAATCATGATTCGAGAAACTCGCTCCAATTTTTTCATAGTGTGAAACTCACACGACTTTGAGCGGGAGAGCTCCTGAGATAAAGAAGTAAAATAGTATCAGTGGGTTTTGCCGACAGATCTATATCCCCAGTCTTGAGTTATGATTATTCAAACTGTTCACCCTTTATGGGAGAAGTTCCGAAGCATTTGGCCAATATTGTCCAATTCGTATCTGACCTAAGACTGACATAAATATTACAACGTGTCAGATTTGGACTATATCGACTACTTCTTATACTTTATATGAGATATGTACATTTTTTTGGAAAATGTGGAAATATGCGTGAGGACCAATGATGTTCATCTAATACAGATAAAAATATTGGTATTTGCAAAATTTGAAGGAAATCTGACATTTATATCCAATTTTATGCGAAATCATAAATTCCGATAAATTACATATTCATATCTGATTTCTGATTAAGAGAAATATTTAGATATAACAAGTTGTAAAGAATCGCCGACTTATTTTGCAAGTTATGACAGATATAAGTATTGAAAATTGTGACCCTCTGTTGTGGATGAGCTTCTGGTACCTCATGGTTGTTTGTGTGTGGGAAATTTGAGGAGATGGATTTGGAATCGGATTTTAATTTTGTGTTTTACGAGATTCATGGATATCAAAAATTTGACCCCTTGTGGGGGAGGGACTAGAAGTTGTGGGCCGATGTAACCCATTTTCACAACAGACCTTGGGTTAATAAAAATATTGTGATTTGTGTAATTTGAGGAGAACCGGATGCTTATTTGGGATTTTATGGTCGTTTTGGTTATTCAAAACTTCGACCCTTTGTGGGGGAGGTACCAGAAGGAATGGTCCGATCACCACCATCTTTATAGCAGATCTTGTGTTGATAAAAATATTGAGA